CTATGTTCAGAACAAAGAACTTTTGTTATATCTAGTCTTGGCTACTTAAAGAGGTTCGGTTACATAATCTTAAGAAGTCATTATGTTCAATACCCGACAAGCATGTAAGCATGTAATGTAGTAGTAATGGCGCTTCTTCGCTTCCAAAGTCAGCTACACGTATTGTGATAGAGGTGGTGAGCTGAATATTTGCCTCGAGCTTGAGATGGGAAGCAAGACTCCGAAGTACCATAATTGTTTGTCGACGTTGAGTTGAGTCGCTCGATACCTTGGTAGTAGGAAAAGTTGATATGCAAATGACTCACTTAATCAAGTTATGAAGGAAAGTCACAGTCGTATGTAAGACTGCCTACCATAGTCTTCACTTATTACAGCAAGTTCGAATTGTGAATAGATACAGGTTTTCAAAGTCTCTTGTGTGTATTGTGTCAAAAGGCTTGGGTTCTCTTGTTCGAGGCCACGGAAACAAAGGGATTATGCCAAACAACGGCTGTGTACATTGTCGTGAATGAAGAGAGTTGTAACAAATCTCATGCTTACCCTTTATCGATGATCTTTGATCGCGAGTAAAGACTACATTGTGACAGAGCTATATAGAAGTATCCTGAACAAGAGAGAAGTCAGAGCCGGAGAAGACAAACCAAGGCAACCAAAATCACTTATATCACAACAATTGACACAACCGAAGACTTTCCGAGGTAGGTGGACATACTTGAGTCTCCAAAGCCACTATCACGTTCGCCATCGAAGGCAACTTCATCCAATAGGAGTAGCAGCAATGTGCTTCGCCAAAACGATTTACACATGCCAGCACCAAGAACGAAAACGCGTAACCTGCCGCGAGACATGGCGCCATCGAGCGGGCTGGTGCTTCCGCCCAGTCCTCTCCTTCTTCTTCGGCGACGCCCCCGAAGAGCCCTGTAGCGAGCTCCGCGCCAACGACACCGTCTGGCCCAACGTCATCTGCCCAGAGTGCCGCACTGCCGAGGAGACCGGGATCGCCACCAAGGGCATGGTCACTAGTACGACCACGACGAACAAGTACCGCGAGAAGCTCACGCCCGCGGCGCTGGCGGCCTCGCGGCGGCGTAAGGAGGAACAGGATAAGAAGGAGGAAAAGATGCGGACAAACTACTGGTCGATCCAGGAGGACTACCAAGAGGGGTTGAGGAAGCGGGAGATGGAAGAAGCTGCTCGACTTCAGGGCAGTGATGCTTCTCTTGTTGAGGGGAGCGAGAATTATGCTGATAGGCCTCTCCCCGCTCTTCCTACCTTTCCTGCTGCTTCGGTTGGTGACACTCGCGGGGATCCGGGATACCAGGACCCACGGCTCCGTTCCAAGAATATGTTCCCTCCGCCTCCTCCACCGACGCCCGAGAACAAGAAGACTACTAAGAAGAAGCGCAGGAGAATGGAACCTCCCGTCATACCCGAGAGACGTCTGCCCACTGTAACCAGTACTGGTAGCCCGATCAGCAAATCATCTCGACGCTCACAAGAGCAAAAGCGACGATGCTCAGAAGACAAATGGAGACAACACCCACAAGAGAAAAAGAGACGGCGGGTGGAAGAGCAAACAAGACAAAACTCAGACGAGCTAACGAGCCAAAGTTCAGAAGAGGGCCCATATGAACGACCGACAAAGGAGAACCGCTACGGCAGAGACACGGCCTCGGGTAGAGAGGCCGCCGACGAGGCCATCCGGATCATGAAGGAAGCCGATGGGCCATCACCGGCAAGGCAGTCTATCGCCGTGAGAAGAGGCAGGGAGATGAAGCAACTGGCCAACAGCTATCGAGAGGAGCGGGCCGCTCCGTGGCCCGAGGAGCCGAGTATTCAACGACGTCCCACGCCCCCGCCCTCGCCGGAGCCGGAGAAGGCGGCAAAGAAGAGTGGCAAGCGCAAGGGCGGTTGGAACCCGTTTGGTAACAAGGATCGCCGAGACGATGTGACCCATTAGGGGAGAAGCACCCGCCGCGAGGTTGTTTCTGACGCTCGTTCCGACGTTCAGTCCTTTGTGTGTTGTGACGCCCGCAAGATAGAGAGAGGGAGAGATCACCATTCTTAGGTATACCTTATGATGCAAAGAGACGAGGCAGAGGGGGAAGAATGAAGGAGATTTGGTGAGTGAATGCTTCATGTTTGTTGAACTATGTATGTGTTTTGAGCGGTTTCCTTGTTTAATTGACATGGACAAATAGAGGCTTCTTTCCCTTCCCAAAAAATAAGAAGAACACGACAACCGAAAGCAAGCAACGCGCAAAAGGGGTCCGAATAGGAAACTCCTTTCCGACCATAAAGTATTGTAACTCGGCCGGCAACAGATCCAACGATTGACAATCTGTATACGCGTAAGCTCAAATTGGTATATGATGAAAGTACTCCGCCTATGAAGTGATGGCTCCTGCCCGAATGCTTCCACGCCGTGGGGCCTTAATCCTTCAATGTCTCTTCTGTTCGCCCGTGGCCTCCCTGTGATGGCTTCTCAGCCTTCTTAAATTTGCTCATCTCTGTCAGTGTTAGTTAGGTAGGCGGAGCAGTAAGCACTTGGCCAGCGCTTGTAGTCTTTCCGATAGGTGTGTGAGTTTGGTTGAGTTTACATCGCAAGACCGGGTAAGTATTTTGTCATCGGCTGGTCTGCAAAGAGTTCATTGGGCCTTTCCGTTCTTGGCGTCGCCGTTCGCCTTGGAGGCTCTGAACTTGGCAATCTCCTTCTCGACGGCCTTGTCAACGCGGCCCTTGAGCTCCTGACGGTACCCAAGCTTGAACAGGAACTCAAGCCAAACAAAGAGAGGGGCCAGGAAGACAGCCTGAACCAGGTTGTCCAACAGCGCCGGCGCGCGCCCCTCGAAGGCGCCGTGCCCGATAAACTGGAAGATCCAGCAGGCGATGTGGATGCCGATGGCGGCCTGGTTGGTCAAGGTAGGGTTCTCAACCCTGAAGTGGTTGCCAGCGGCAGTGGCGGCCAAGCAAATGACGGCCAGGAGCGTGCCGGCAACAGGCTCGAGAAGAACATACAGACCACCCCAAGTCAGGGCTGCGAGTGTCCCCAAGTTAAGATCTAGATTAGGGACGGTGAGCCAGCTAGGGAGTGGAATGAGAGTTCCTGTGTTGGTGGCCTGGGGAAGTCTGTATGAGCTCAGATGAAAAGACTCGAGTTACATCTCATTGACTGCTTACAAGGCAAAATCCGGAAAACAAGATGATGGGCACACATGCCATGTGGATGCCGATGTTGACGGTATTATGGTGGTATGCACCATACTGTGAGCTCATTAGCAACCATGCTAACGACGTACTCTGGAAAGTCGGACAGTTCACGAACAAAGGTCAGGTGTTTTTCCAAGTCTAAAGACATGATGGCGGTGAATGGAATGAGATGGTGCTGAGACCTAAGCCAAGGGCGATGTGGTGGACTGAGAGCCGAGGTTTGTTGCAGGATAGATGCACCAAGACGAGGCTGGCTGCAGGGTCGAGGCTCAGCCGCGGGCGGATCGGCAACAGCTGGAGCGTGAGCGGGCCGGACGGATTGGTTGCGGTGCACTTTGGAACGGCCGTATCGATACCATAAATTAGATTAGTCGCGGATGCACTATGGGCGACTGGGGAGAGAGCTGGTGATGTTGGCGTCGTTGCGAATGATGGAACTTGAGGGAATGCCGTCGTGTTCCGGACAGGGTTGCAATGGTGTTCATATGTGTCCCACCCAAGCACGTCGAGTTACCTTGCCTTCCGCCGAACCTTTGCGGTGCAAGTACCCGTGGGGCCGCTGGGAGCGCGTTTTTGCTCTTCGGTTCGGGGAGTTCGTAGGGATTCCACTGGATTTCCAGCAGTCCTAGAAGCGACAAGGTCCACAATGGCGGTTTCTGACTGGAGATTTTGGGGGGAATGAGTCCACTAAAAATCTCTAAACGTGCATGCACCCAGCATACGACTGATTTCCTCCACCCAATCTAACGTCGTGCATTTGTCGTGTGAGCGCGTCGGAGGCTGGGGAGGCTCTTAACCGACTCTTCTGATTGAGCTTGAAGGACATCCGGATGTCAAAACATGAAGCTGGCCAATTTTACAGTCCTCGTTGCATAAACAGACTGACTCCATGCGTGATCTGTGCCGCAAGCCCAAATTATGACGCCAGCTCCAACTCATTAGGGCTGGGCTCTCACATCCGCGGCCCAAATGGCGCCACTTGTCGCATCCTGCTGGCATCTGACAGTGCACTCTCCAGCATCGCAATCCACGAATGGGATTTGTCGCTCATTTAATCACTATTCAAGTCGCGTCTAAAGTACCTGCCTTCCAAGGTTCCCGTCCTGAACATCGCGCTTACCCCGGTTTCGGAGCGACGACCTTTCCGCCACGGGCCTTCCGCGCTAGCGCAGTGCTTTGGCGCAAGCGCGGTAGAACGAAGTGAAAGGTGTGGCTTGAGCTCCTGCCAATCCCACTTTTCCTGCCTGGGGCATGTGTAGGTGTGGCTGCCCGCAGGCCAAAAAATTCAGGAGCCACTTCTTGCCGTAACAAGGCCATCTCAGCCTCGTCAGGTTCATCTCAGGACAACCTCTCCGTTCACTACCCATCGAGTCACAACGCTGGCGGCGCATCTCCTTCAGCGCACCACAGAGGAGATATTCGTCAAAATCCCGATTCCTCGCGCTTCTCCTTTATTTCGTCCTCGTGTATTTTCTTTCTCGGAGGCGTGTCGCGCGTTGCAACCCTCTAGCTTCAGCTTGTTCGCGACTTCTGACCCTACTCACCGGTCTGCATTTGGAAGCCGCGCATCGATTGTTTCTCCTGACACTTCCAATCGTATCACTCGATCGCGGATCGATTGAGACCACGTCAACACGGGCACTAGAATTATTCGCATATAATACGAAGAGCTTGGGTTAATAACGCGCCGACGCGTTGTTGGAGGCAGGATACGGCCAACATCGCTGACGACGACACGACGACGATCCGCTTCTCGCCTCCGAGCATTCTGCGCCTTGAAAGCCGTCACGATGTTCTTCCTCTACAACATGGAGCGCAGGGTCACCCTGCACCCCTCCTACTTCGGCCGGAACATGCACGAGCTGGTGACGAGCAAGTTGCTGAAGGACGTGGAAGGCACCTGCGCAGGAAGTTACTACATCATTTCCATCATGGATACCTTCGATATTTCCGAGGGTCGCATTCTCCCAGGCAGTGGCCTGGCCGAGTTCACGGTGGGATACCGAGCCGTGGTTTGGCGACCCTTCAAGGGCGAGACGGTAATTGCTATAAATCTGCCTGGCTTTGTCGGGGAAGCGGCTTCTGACATGAACCCAGGTTGATGCTGTGGTCTACTCAGTCAATCACCAGGGCTTTTTCGCCCAGGCGGGGCCTCTGCGGTTATTCGTGTCGGCACATGTAGGTTCTCGCTTCCGCGCTGGCCAGGCAGTACCTTTTCGTCGATAGCTAACCGCTGCTATTTCTTTATCAGCTGATCCCGTCCGAGATCAAATGGGATCCCAATGCGACACCGCCGCAGTTCACCAACAATGAAGATACCATCATTGAACCAGGAACCCACGTGCGTGTCAAGGTAATTGGTACGCGCACAGAAGTCGGTGAGATGTGGGCGATTGGCAGCATTAAGGAGGACTATCTCGGGTATGTCAATAACTGCGAAGCCTTGATTGGGTCTAACTCACATATCCTCGCAAAAGCTGCCTCCAGGACTAAACGTCACCCACGATGGGGAAGAGTAAGGAGACGGGCCACGAACGACCACGCCCAACGCGACCTATACAGGCTTTGGTCGGCGAGAGGTGGGTATTCGACACTCTACGCGAGTGGATCCTTGGCCGTTTATGGCAACAAGTGTTGCTACCGCGCAGAGCAACCCTTTTGGACAAGGCCCGGACGAAAATATCGAGAGAGTCGTCTTTGGGCCACAAACGAGACATCGCTACGCTGACCAATCTGCATCCGGGAAGTCAAACATAGAGAAAAGTTTGGAGAGAGAGAAAAGAGGGCATACGCATGCCTACATCGTACATGGCTGGCGCATTTTTTGCGATCCGCAGCGTCAGATCTGGGTTCCTGAAAGTTGTACAATAAGCTGTTGCTTTCCCACATTCAACGAAATAAAAAGAGCAAAGCTACGAGCAAACACAATGTCGCTCGGGTAGGCTTCTGGAGCAGCCATCCTTTGACGGCGAAGAGTTGAAGTCCCGAAAGTCTATATTGTGACCAGATTTGTGTTCTTTGTGAAGTTTCGAAGGTCTCAAGCTTGGACTAATTGCACGCACTTATCTAGGTAGGTACCTACCTCTCTGTATATACCTTTGGTGACATCAGGTAGCAAGCACCTGGCGGGAGCTTGCTATGGTGAGGTCGCGGGAGCCGGGAATTCGGCTAGCCCCGCCCAAATATACCTCTTCCCCCACGTTTCCTCCCTGGGTAAGGTAGCTCTGATAGACTAATAACCCCCAATAACATCCGACAATTACCCCGCCGCATGAATATCTCCGTCCCGTGGGTCTTTTCTCCCCATGGTACGGATACTGTGGTGGGAATGGACCGAGTTCCTGTCCTAGAAACCCGCTTTACCTCCCCCGGCCCGCCTCTATCTGTTATCCGCGTGCATGCGTAGAATGGGGCGCCATGGCCGGCTTTCCCTCCGAAGAAATCAGTAAAGCACCCCCGCACTAGACAGACAGACAGACAGACCCCTACGCGTATCTGACATAAGGCGCGGGTGACACATTGGGTTGGAGGGGTTGGTTCACATCATGAGCCGATTCCGGTGCTTGATCATGTAGTAAACCTATCAGTAAGGAAAGAAACAAAAGATTTGTATCTTACGTCGCACAGGAACTGTTGCTACTTGCAAATCATATAAACACCATCATTATAATTCGTCAATTTACCACTTCACATTCGTGTATACAAACTACAATGTCGGCGATGCAAGCGGCCAACAAGCTCCGGACGGCCTTCACCAAGGGCGCCGGCCCCAGTTTCGGGTTGTGGCAGATGATTCCCGGCGCCAACGTCTCCCGGGTGCTTGCCCGGAGTCCCGGCGTGGATTGGGTCTTGGTCGATTGCGAGCATGGGAACATTGACGGTGAGCTTGATTGAATTATCAGAGCAATGTTGATGCTGAACGCTGAACGAGAGGATTAAGATGAGAAGCTGACTTGTTGGTGTCCTACTCCCCAGATGGCGCCATGCACGATGCCGTCCCTGCCATTGCGGCGGCTGGTGTATCTCCCATTGTGAGGTTGCCGGACATGCAGAGCTGGATGGTGAAGCGTAAGGGCATTAACCCTTTCTCATGATTGAGGCAAATCAGACTAACCACATATTCAGGTGCTTTGGATTGCGGTGCTCACGGGGTAAGCAGACAAGCCTCATGTGAACAGAGAGAATGTTTCATTTACATGCGGTGTTCGCAAAGAGAAGAAGCTTGGCTGACGTTCGAAAAAGATCCTCGTTCCGCTGCTCCGAACCGCCCAGGAGGCAAAGGACCTGGTGCAGTCGGCCAAGTTCCCGCCGTGGGGACGACGTGGGTTCGGGTCGCCTCTCGCCATGGAACGCTTCAGCCCGGCGCCCAGCATGACGGAGTACCTGCAGCAGGCCAACGACAGCCTGCTGACGATTGTGCAGATTGAGACCAGGGAGGCTCTTGAGTCCATTGACGAGATCGCGGCGGTGGAGGGTATTGACGCGCTCTTCATTGGCCCCTTTGATCTTGGTCAGTCCAGCCCATCCCTTGAGCCATGCACTTTGGGCCGCTTGTTCACTTGGAGTTGAGCGATCTTGGCTGACCGGCATCACAGGAAACAACATTGGCCACCCAGTGATTAACGGCGTCATCGAAAAGGAGCTGAGCGATGCTATTGAGCGCATCCTCGAGGCGACGCACAAGGCGGGTAAGAAGGCCGGCATCTTCTGCACGAGCGGCGAACAGTCCAAGTTCTTCGCGGATAAGGGGTTCGACATGATTAGCGTGGCGACGGATTACACGGCATTGCAGTACACAGTCTCGGAGTCATTGAGCATAGCCAGGGGAGGGGCGAAGCCGGCCAAGGGTGGATCGTACTGAGCGATACCGTAGGAGATGCCTAGAGATTCTCGAGAGTAGAAGGGTATCGCATATGGTAGAGGAGTAGGCTGTGCTGCTTGGTTGGTCGAACTCTTGGCTCGCCTGCTGGCTACTTCCTATGAGCCAAGCAACGCTGCGGCCGCTCTGGATGAGTAAGAAAGACGATCTTCACAGAGTTTACTTTTCTCCCTCTACTTGATCCATCTTGGCTTCGATCTGATCTGGGTCGAATCGATGCATGAGCTTGACAGCTTTGCCCACGAGTTTGACATCCTCCTCAGGGGCCTCGGCTTTGCTAATGTGGATCTGGGGTAAAGGGGCGCACGTCAACGGATTAGAATGGTTTAAAGGCTCACTTTTGCAGGAAACTTTTGCGAAGGTGGATGTGCATCATCGGATGGCCTCCTTTTCATCCCACGCGGCAAGGAAAGAAGGATGAACTTACCACGGGCACGTCGAAATCGTAAAGGTCCCTCCACTTCTTGTTCTCTGGCTTCGTGATGACGACCTCCGTGTAAGCAAAAGGCCGGCGATCCCAAACGTTGGAGAGTGCCGATTTGGCCCGCACGCACAAGCCGCACTCATCGCGGGAGAAGAGGGTGATCCGACATGGTTGGACCTTTTGAAATAAACGTCGTGTTGGTGCAAACATTTTTATGATTGCTGCAGATCAAATTGCAAGTCTGCTGTGGACGTCTCGCGATTAACTCGAAATCTGACGTTTATCCCACCGTAGTGTGTGGGCACAACATACTCTTGAACCGAGAAAAAGAAGGAGGCTCGAAGGCTGTGAAACAGCCTCGTTCTCGGTCAGCTGGGAAAGGAAGACGAGGGGAGGAGAGAAAGGATAGGAATGTCAAATATGACGACTGGTACCAGGGATCAGGGTAGGTTGGTGTTGGAATTGAGTTGGAGGGGCGTACAATGTCTGTGGTTGTATTTGAGATATGTCTGTGAGATTCAATGTGAGATGATGTGACCTGCCCAATGTCTGCCAGTTGCGGGGGTGTGGAGAGAAACGCCCGTTGGTTATCGTTTCGAAATAGTCCGATTGATTGAATGGTTGGATCCGCCACGAAGAAAGCAAAATTGCTGCTCGTCCCAGTCCGTCTTGTGATGATGATGAAATGGGCAAACAAAGGCAAAAGTGTGGGCTGAAGATGTCTGGTCTTTTTTGGGTCGTAAGTTTGAAGTTTCCGACTGAACTTCCACCCCGGCCGAGTTGCAACTCTGAACCTGCAAGGACAAGGCCGGATGTAACCTGTCATTGTCTTCGGTCAATTCTTGCCGAATGTGGTCACATTACGGACGTCTTCTTCAGGAAGGCGGTCAGGACTTTGAAGCAGTCGCACCCCACCCTTCGTTATCCATCTCCGGCGAATCAGCAGGAAGATTTGGCGGAGCTTGTGCCCAACATGCATAATTTTGAGCCGCTAAATCGCAGTGACGACGACCCCTGGGAAATTCTGGAATCCTGGAGAACATAGTAACCCCTCCATCGACGACAACCACCCCTCACTCATCACTTCCTTACGGGGGCCCTTTTCGACAATTTACATCCTGCTAGACCCGCCGCCTCTTTCATCCACACCAATTCTCAAACGTCACCCGTCGTCAATCTTGAATCTTGTTCATCCTTAACAATTTTTTCCCCCTTCCTTCCACTCCAATTCCTTGGAGCATCACTGTGTGTCCAGCAAACTTCGCTTGCATCTCACCTCAGCACGCGAAAACGGTAGCGAAAGCCAAGCAGCATAAGCTCATCCTGCCACCTCATCATGGCAGAAAAGTGCGTCCACCAGGGCTGCGGCAAGCTCTACTCTGATGCTGAGGAGCCATGTGTCTACCACCCCGGTCCTCCCGTCTTCCATGAAGGCCAGAAAGGTACTCACTCCTAGCCCCCCAATCACCATACAAACTCTACACAAGTGCTACGCCATGCTCCATGGAGAACGCGTCCTTCCCGTTCTTGTCCCGTGCGGATGTCATGGGATTCCCCTTCTTTCGTCCAATTGCACCTCTCCCATCCCCTTGCCACGAGCCCCGTTCAACCGCAATCAATCGCATTGGAAATATTTCACACGAGACACCGCGGCTAACCTCATTCACCGCTACCAAACAGGCTGGAAGTGCTGCAAACCCCGTGTCCTCACCTTTGAGGAGTTTATGGCCATCCCCCCCTGCACAACCGGCAAGCACTCCACAACCGACCTCCCCCCAAAGATCGAGCAGAAGCCCCAAGCGGACCCCGCGGACGCGCCTTCTCTCCTCGATAAGCTCGCATCGGCAGCGGAACCGGCACGCAAGCCCCTCTCCCAAGCCACAGCCGCTCCCTCCCCTCCGCCTCCACCCCCGGAGTCCGAGTCCGACGACGCTTCCCTCGAGATTCCCGACGGGACCACCTGCCGTCGTAAAGCCTGTTCGGCCACCTACCGCAAGGCCTCATCGCGCGATGGCGAATCCTGCGTCCACCACCCCGGTGTCCCCATCTTCCACGAGGGCTCCAAGGGCTACAGCTGCTGCAAGCGCCGTGTTCTCGAGTTTGACCAGTTTATGAAGATCGAAGGTTGCAAGACCAAGGGCCGTCACCTGTTCATCGGAAGCGGCAAGAAGAAGAACGCTGCGGCAGCTGGCGGCGAGGAGAAGCTCGACACAGTCCGCACCGACTTCTACCAGACCCCTTCTACTGTCATCGCCTCCTTCTTCCTCAAGAAGATCGTCAAGGATTCGGCCAAGATCGAGTTCAAGTCGCAATCCATCGCACTTGACCTGCCCACCTCAGACTCGCCGCCCAAGCGCTACACCACCGAGGTACCTCTGTTTGCGCCAATCGATACGGAAAAGTCCACCTTCAAGGTGCTTGGCACAAAACTTGAGGTGAACCTTGCCAAGGCCGGCGGTGAGTCGTGGCCTGTCCTGCGCAGTGATGACCGTCTCACTGGTGAGATATTACAAATCGGCAAGGCGGGGCGCTTGCAATAGTTCAAGACACCACCACAGGTACGGACTTACACTCTCGCGCACTCGCGTTCCCCGGGAGAGCATTCATGCGGGCTATCGGAGTAAGATGGTCACAAACCCCAGGAGAAACGTCAGGCAAAAGAGATGTTGAGATGACGCGAGAGAGAAGCGAATGAGGAAACACGTGTGTGAGACACGGGCGACCTCTAGACGCACAGAAGGGGAAAGAAAAAAAGAGAAAGAAAGATACACCAGATACCTCTAGATGGGTATGTGAGACATTCATGTCCCACCCAAGGATGCGGTAGCTACTGTAATCCAAGAAAAAACCGTAAAACAAGAAGAAAAAGTTCAAGACATGCTCCTTGGCCCTGACCCCCTACTACTCGTAACTTCGAGGTTCCTTTGGCTCTTCTGTTTTTGATGACGCCTCTGACTCTGCTGGAATGCGTGCTGTCTATCTGCCATCTGCCTAGCCAGCCCCATTACCGTGCGGCGTGCTCAAAGGTCATGCTCTGAGAGGCCTGGAGGAGGATAAGGCCTTAGGCCTCGGAGGGGGGATCGACTCGAGCCGTGATCTGGTATGTGCCACGGCATGTGACCAAGGGTCTTGGCAGACAAAACGTGATACGCGGCCCCCTCCTCTGTTGACTCGGTGAAGATCCGTGTGAAGTGGTAAAATGAGTAGCAAGCTTCTTCTTTCTTCCAAAGATCAGCCTCGCAAGAGAGCGGCCTCCAACTCCAACCAAACCACCCCCTGAGAGCACGAGCACAAGCACGAGCACGGATTGTTCTGTCCGTCCGTTCAACCCCAAGACAGAATACAGAAAAAAAAAATTCAGAAACGTCCTCGCCGTGTGTCACCTTGGGCCTTTTTCCTGCTTGATTACCATGGTAGACTCGCGCTTCAGGATTTGTTCTAAGAATACTCAGCCTAGAAACCCGTGCGCTTTCCTCTGTGCTCTTGCGACATGGCCGCCTGCGGCGTCAAGTTCACCACTGAACCAAAAGATTGTCCCCCTGTTTTTTTTGTTGAGATGACGGAAGGTGATGATCCGTGAACATATCTCGATGTTCTGTTAGCAGGCCGTGAACATGTCTTGGCATTCGAACCGCTGTCCATTGCGTCTTTTGGCGGTCAGATTTCCTTTCCTTCTTCCTTTCTTCTTCTTCGATAAAAAAAAGGGTCCCACGTTGTCTAGCTATTGTTGCACTGCCGCCTTCGTTGTACTTGCCTAGAGGCTAGAGGCTAGAAGACTAGAATGTGCCGCGAAATGCTGTCTTGCCAAGCAGTCGGAAACGCTGCTAACGACTCTGGTTGCGCGCGCGCATGGGGGGTTGGTTCACCAACAATCACCAGAGACATCACTTTACTTAGTCTGGAAGATAAAGTTGGCGATCATCATGACGGGTCCTTCAAGTGCCGGTGGACGGTGTGTACCTTACTGCTTAGTGGTTGGTGTCAATGCTTGCCTTGTCACGCTTGTAGTGTACGGATAATTGTCCGTGTGTGGGATTTGACAATTTGTGTAATGCTCAATTGGCTTATCTGATTTCCGCAATCTACCTAGTACTCTAGCCAAGGCCAAGCTAGCTAGCTTCAACCGCCCCTTACGGAGAGTTTTCTCAACAGCTTTTTTCTTGTGAAAGCAAACCCGAAAGCCAAGATAATAGGGGACGTGAGTACCCCCCTCCGGCAAACCACAAGTGTGTGTGTGTGTGTGTGCATGTGAGAGAACAACACACACCAAGGCAGTTCCCGGAGTCCCGATGCAGCTCTACCCGCAAACTAATACCGACGCTAGTGACAACACCCCTGGCATGACTGACATATCAGATAATCAGTCAGAACGAAAGGAAAGCCAGGGGGTGGGGAATTTTCGATGACTGAAAAAAAAAATGGAGAAAATAAAATGTCTTGGCTTGTTGCGGCCTGATGCAATTGTAAAGAAAAACAGATTGATAAACCTTTTCCAACTCCGAGCCTAGCTGCCCATACAGCCAAACTTGCCAGGGATGATGGACGCAGGCACACGAAGCACGGATAGTGGTGCGCGCAGCACACACCGTCCGTATCTAGTGTCGAGTCAACCACCCCCCATAAACTGCATCACCCAAAACGCCAAGCCGGTGATGTGGATACAACAGGCATGAAAACATGTAGATTGGGAATCTGTGAGAAAAAAGAGGAAGAATAGGCAGGGAGGGCAGATCGAGTGCCGCCGCCGCCACATGAAGGTGGGAATTGTTGGAAATCGCAGAACGCATGCTTGGTAAAGAAAAAAAAACGGAGTCCTCAACGAAGCGGAGTCCGTCACCCCCGCTGGACCGGCGTCCGTTGATGGAAACGCCCTTCCACTGCCGCGTCAGGATCGGCTTCGTGCTCCGCTTGGCTATTGCCACGAACTGGTCCGTTGTGGTAATACGGCCAAGACGGTGAAGTCGGCGCCCGCCCGGTAGTCAGGTGACAGTGGCTTTGCTCTCTAGCGCGGGAAGGGAGGACGTATGCCAATGTGCCCGCCGGAGCTAGCAATAGACTCTACAGTCGTAGCTCTAGACCAGCCGCCGTGCCGCTCCCTATGTGGCAGGGATCACCCTGATAAGAGGCCGAAAAGGGATAAAGCCAAAATGGATAGGACGCAGGCCAGTGGAGAATAAGGCTTCAGAAGGGCTGTGCCATGACTGTGGGCGGTAACGGGCGTTGTTGGTCATAGTCGTCCAGATATGCGTATGCGTGGTGTAAGCTGGAGAGTGTAGCGTAAGAGTGGTTATGGCGACTCGTTCTGCAGGGACGCAGCTCGTTTGTGCCTGGTGTTATGACGTGGGGTGTAGCCGTAGACGGCTGATCTGACGGGATCTAGACTTTTGTTTTTGACTTCGCCGCACCAATGCAAGGGTGGAGCCTGCCCGCTGCGGGATGCAACGGAACCGGCGCCCCTCGCCCTCAACCCGTGCTCTTAGTTGCCGGGTTAGGAGAAGGCGCTCTCTCGTCCGTGCCATTGTAAATCAGCTGGAAGCCATCGCGGCGGCAGATAACAATGGGCTTGTCGTTGGAGCAGCGCCCGATAATTTCGCTATTGTTCGGCAAGTTGTAAGGCACGGCGTCCTTGAAATGGATGATTGGGCCGCCGTCCATCGTGAGCCCGATAATTTCAGCTCCTTGAATGCCATCATCCTCATCAGAAGACTCGGCTTGAATAGTGTTCCTGTATCTCGTGTTAGCGCACATGTTTTCATCTTGGCGGGGGGAGGTTGGGTAGCAACCAATTTCCCGGGGTGGAAAGGTGCACGTACACTTGGCTCATGGGGAGCGTTCCGGCGTCACTCATCTTCCTCTTTCTCGCTGACGCCTTCTTGACTCTTCGGACCATGCATGTGTGGAAGTAGTGGAACAAACCCGCGATGACCAAGACGGGTGTGCCGAGAGCAAGAGCCCATGGACTATAATGATACGTTAGCAAAAACATGAGGCTTGCAAGTATGGCAGGGAGGCTACACACGGGTTCTTGCGTTGTCTCAGCTGGTGGACAAGGGCCAGAATGACTCCGCATACTGCAATGAGAGATCCGACCTGAATCATGGTGAAAGTCGACCAGTACAGCGACATGAGGTCCTCGCCGTCGCAGAACTGCAATGCCATCAAGGTGAAGACCTCCATAATGACCGTCGCTAATGAGACGCAAACGCATCCCAGATTGAACCAGATGCAATGCTTGATGGCTTTTTTCCTTTTTGCGTCCGTCTCGGGGAGTTCGCTCACAGCGTCCAATGTCCTGAACAGTTGGTCAGTGAGACTGTTTGAGGAAAGATGACCGTGAGACGCAACGGTTTTGCGGGGGAACTCACCGTGTGTAATTCCATGCTGCCAGGAATAGGATGAACAGATTGAAAACGAACAAAAGCCAGTACATGACATCGAACTGCCATCTATCCAAGTGAGATGCGAATCTGGCATAGTGCTCACACCGCACCGGGTCGAAAGGTGTAAAGTCTTCTTCGTTGGCCGACATCGTGACTGTTGTGTGCGTGTTGATCTGGTTGTTGGGTTGTAGAAGATGCTTTCACGTCTTCTTTTGAAAATCGTCTGGTGCTCCGGATGACAGAGCGTTGATGATGTTGGCACTTGACAGATGGTGATGCAAGAGGCTCTGCTTCTTTATAGGTAAAGAGGCTCGTTTTGTAAAGTCACCGATCTGCAGGGTTATGATGAGTCGGTGCAGACTTGTCCAGGCTTGCGTGTGCGAACAGGGAGGCGCTTTCAGTCAGGCTCTGATGGCGGGCAGGGGTTGCCGTGGTGCTAAGTCTGCCGAGGGGCACCCCGGTGTGTTCGTGCAGTGTGCGGACTATGAAGCGAGGGGTGTATACTGAGATAATCTGTACGGTGGAGGTATAGACCAAAGCTCCTATGGCTTGTCAAGCAGAAATGTGAGATTAGCTCAGATTGAGATGGCAGAATGGCTCGTCACTGCCCAGGGGACTACTGCAGTTCTGCAGTCACCTAGAGGCCGTTCGCTCCACTCGGCCTTAGACCAATGTGTGGATCCAAGGCCAAGTTCAAACTCATCTTGTCACCAATGATGCACCGATGCTGAGTCGAGAGAGGAGGGAGGCCAGGAATAGTGCTTGAAACAAGACGATAGTGACAGCGTCGTCGACATGGCTGGTGGTGATCCGCATGTGGATGGCGATGCTGTCTGGGCGATGTCTGGGCAGTCTCTTGGCAAGATGCGCGGGATAGGACGTAGATTGCCGATCTGTAGGCGGGCCCTTGGTGACGGCGCATGTGCATTTGGATTGGTCGGCCGCCGCATTATTCTCCGGACTAGGGGGGGCTTAGCAACGACGTCCAGACTTTGCAACTCTGTTGCACAGATATTCCATGGTTCCCTAAGCTCCAACGACGAGCTTCCCTTGTCCAACAATCCATTTCTTTCCCCCCATTACCCCGTCCCATGCCCGCTCCGACGCCGTCAGTGGGAGGCCACCCCGCGTGCCCGCAGTGTCCGCACGTCTCATCAACGAACCCTCAACTCGAACATGTGGTTCCTCAACTCATTCCCTCCATCAGCTCAACTCTGTCAAGCATCATTCCCTTCAGACCAAGATACTCCTTTAGCGAGTCCCACTCAATACCGCCCTCCTCACCGTGTCGCCATTTCTCTCTGTAACCCCAGGCGCATGCGATGTCATCCATGCCCGCCCTCTCTTCTTCACGCAGCCAGCGCTGGTGCAACGGAATACCGGGCGCCCAAGTGACTCGTCGCATATGATCATTGACAGTGGTTTTGGCAACCATCCCAATCGTCGCTGTGAACCCCAGATAAGCCAGGATGGCGGCGAAGGCGAACTTTGTGGCTGTCACGGGCTCCATTGTGTTCTGGAATGCCGAGAGATTGGAGGCAAGAGTGTAGACTCCAAAGGGGGCCGCTGCCACGGCCGAGACGGGCAGAAGCGCCTTCCGCAGAAGCTTTTGGCGGTAGAATGCTTGTGTTGCGTAGCAGGCCTCAACGATGCCAATCGCAGCGTCCAAATTCTTGGCGTCGATGGCGGCCCCCAGAGCTGTTTCGGCCACACTTGCTTCGATTGCCTTGTCTGCCCTATTTGGGTTCTGCTGAACATAGAAGATTGCATCCTCGACCGCCTTTGGTTTGGGCTTTGACGCATACAATTCGAAAACATGGGGAAGTGTCTCGGGCCTGCCAAGCCTAGCTTGGATGTTTACGTATAAGTCCAAGACCTGGGGACCAATGGAAACGGTGGGGTGGGCGATAATTTCGTATGCTGACTCGGAGATTGTGTCGACTGTATCCTTGACAGAAACTGACGGGATCGACGCGCTACCAGATTTAGCTGCAGTCAAGTTCGAGTCCAAGGATAACAGATTGGAAGCGGTCGATGCTGTGAGTGTCGAGGCCGGACGATTCTCTGACCTGGATAGATAGGGTTGAATCGCATTTGCGGCGCCTTGGCACGTTTTCAAGACTGCAGTGACGAGCTGTGTGGTGGGAATTCCGTCCGTAGAGAGGAAGTGCTTTCTGCTCTGCTGAACCACGGCCGCCAGCTTGCTCAGATCAGGGAGTTCCTTGGACGACGGACTGGCCGTTGCAGGCCTCTCGTGACCATTCTTTTGCAAAGCCGAAGCAGGTACCGTGCTCGCCAGGCGACTTTTCTCAAAACCCCGTCTCAATATGGTATTCTCGTAGAGCTGGGCAGATCGAAGAGGGACGATCGAAGGCACGTTTGGCTTGGCGGTATGTTGGAATCGAGTCTGTTGACCGGCGCGTGATAGGCCCACACATGATTGACAAACGAAGCGAGGCTGGCGAGCCGCTGGCCGGATGAAGGCGGTCCGCATCATCTTCGTAGCGGAGAGGATAGTGCGCGAGGTCGGGTCGAGGAGGAGGAGGATGACGAGCGTACGCGTCTTCGGTGAGTGAGGATTGGACAATCTGAAGCACACAACGAGCGAGCGGGCGTGAAGTCGTAGACTGGCCTCTCTGGGCTGCAGCAGTAGAGCGAACAGCGAAGCAATCGGGATAGATAGTCCGTTTCGTAGCGAGGCAAGCCAAGAGAATCAAGCAAAAGGGGGCCGTCGGGCGGGTGAGGCAGAAACCGTGGGGAACAAGCAGCCGGGAGAGGCCGTCTTGGGGCTTGGTACTGGTTGAGGAGAGAAGGCCGAGAAAGAATCCCGGGTGATGTGAGGCACTGGTACCGTGGGACGGTGGGATGAAGCAAAATTGGAGGACGGGAAAGGACTCTCGGAGCTCTGGACGCGACGGAGGTTCCGGGGAAAGCTGGGAGCTCATGCAAAATTTCCACCTTGAGCCCCATACCCCCCAATAGCACGTCGTCTAATTACCCGCACCTGCCCCCCTAGCCTTACAGGCGATCATTCACGCGGCAGGGAGGCTCTCGCAGCTCGGGACAGCGCGCCGCGCCAATGAGATTAGCAGTTGCCCCTCCTAGGCGGGGTCGCTTTGGGGCAAGTACAGGAGAGTACAGCGCCCAGCCAATACTTGAAGGTGCACTGAAGAAACGTGGCCGGCAGCAGCCACAGCCGTCCACTGGCGTTGCATGCCGAGTATTCTGAGAGCCTACGCGCACCTCTTTGGCGCGAACTGTTACACTGCCACTTTACTCACACCGTCTGCTGCGTGTTTCTCAACACCATTCCTTCCAAGACGTTAAGGCTGTAGATCTTTATTGTAGCTCTGCATTAGATACAATTAACATCTTTAGCAATGAGTTGGTCTCTTGGGCCTATTCCGGTTTGTTCCGCAAGTTGTCTTGGCTTGCGAGAGTGCTCATACCCTGGATCACTATTCTTCCCATACGCCACATCGCATGCTTACGTACTGCCCAGCCACAGGTACGTGGAGAGACATTTGAGGCTGATGGACCAGAAGATACTTAGGCTGCTATGGCATCTGCACGCTAGTTGGAAGTACCTCAGACCAGGCAGGCGCCTCAGCCCACTTTGACTGTAACGGTTGCACTGCCAGCGCCTAACAGCGCAGCGCCTTTGAGCGAACGACCAAGATACTGCCCGAAGATGACGAAACACCACGCGGCTGAAAAGCGACCCCAGAGTACCATCATCCCATCGACCCTTGAGGACACGCTGATCGAACCCCTCGAGAGCCTCAACCTCCTCCTGCTATTAAACAGCACCCTGTCGCTCCATTCTACTGTATCTGAACGACATCTCTCGCTCATTCTCGCCATTGAACCCAACCTATCAAGCTTGGCTTGCATGAGCCTCCGTCCAATTCCGGCCGACGACCTAACCACCATCAACCACCTCTCCATCGACGAGAGTTAACCACAACAACCATCATTTACTTGATATTGAAAGCGCAAACACATAAAAGACATAGCAACAAACTGCATCATGCCCCCTCCACCTCCGCCGCCGCCGCCGATGCCTGCGATGGGCGGCCCTCCTCCGCCTCCCCCGCCGCCAGGAGGTCCTCCTGGAGCTGGCAATCTACCTTCGAGACCACCACCAGGAGGCAGAGTACGTCTTTGGAGCTCACGAGTGGACTTGAACGCTTTGTCACAGCATCATACTGATACGGGTCACAGGGCGCTCTACTCTCCGACATCACGAAAGGCAAGGCTCTCAAGAAAGCCGTTACGAACGATAGATCTGCGCCGGTAGTTGGGGGTTCGTCTGGTGGCGTTTCCTCCGGAGGACCGCCTCTAGGAGGTGCGCCTCCGGTCCCAGGCTTTGGTGGTGCCCCTAAACCTCCCGGTGGCCTCGCTCCTCCGGTGCCCGGAAATCGAGCTAGAAGCAATAGCGACCAGAGCGGGCGAGAAAGCGCGCCTGCACCGCCCACACAGGCAGCACCACAATTAGGGGGACTCTTTGCGGGAGGCATGCCGAAGCTGCGGAAGACTCGTGGCGCCGTTGATACCGGTGCTTCTATGGACTCGTCATATCTGTCGGATCCCGAGAGCAATGTGCGGTCGTCCTCTGCGCCGAAGCCACCCACATTCGGAGCACCAAAACCTCCTGGCGGTGCGGCGCCGGCCCCGCCGGGAAGGCCGCCTTTACCTCCTCCCAACGCCGCACCGGCCCTGCCACCATCCATTGCCAACTTGCGCAAGACGCCCAGCGATCTACCTCGGCCAGGCTCTTCAGCATCGATGAAAGGACCTCCGCCTCCTATAGGCAAGAAGCCGCCGCCACTGCCAGCATCCCGGAAGCCCTCGACTACGCCCAGCCACCCGCCTCCATTACCTGGATCGCCAGCTCCAGGAGCACCCCCTCCACCACCTCCATCGTCTGCTCCAGCACTTCCGTCCGCACCCCCCTCGGCGCCGCCACCACCCCCTGCTGCTGCTGCTCCCAGAGCTCCAGCGCCATCGCCTCCGTCGAGGTCCCCAGCACCTCCACCTCCTCCACCGGCCTCAAACGGACCTTCGCCGCTGGCAATGCAAGCCGCTTTACGAGCAGCCGGTCAGGCATCTCCAAGTGCTGCTCCACCGCCTCCCCCATCGGTGGCCCCCTCGCCCCCCGCCTCTGCACCTCCTCCACCAACAGCACCCCCTACGAGGGCCCGTGCTGGTTCTGGTCTACGATCTTCTATGCTAGATCCAAGCGCCTTCACGCTTGCTCCCAATGGTGCAAAGAGTCCAAGTCCTACTCGAACGAACACAATGAGCAGTCTCAATGTCGGCGGTGGTGGTCAACGATACATCGTACAAGATCCTCGATGGAAGTTCCAGGATGATGCCATGTTGCCAAAGCCAAGGGACTTTGTAGGCGGTCCCCGACGATACAGAGCCGGCAGAGGTAGCAGTGTTCCTCTTGATCTCAGCGCCCTATAAGGGGGTCGGACTAGATACGGATTATTCCGTAGCCTGATCAGCGTCAAGTTCTATCAAAGTTTGGGTCTAGAGTGGCGACCAGCCTCGGGCAATCTACATGAATCAAACGATCTGCACTGCTATGATTCTTGGTGGAAACGCACCCCTTGTTGCTGCATGGAAGTCATCCGGCAGAGATTTCTCGCAGAAGACGGAGAGGGTTCAATTTCGACGCCTTTTGCCGGTGGGCTATTGTTAGTCGCCAAATTGAGGATATTCTGGAGGATTCGGACTCCGCAAAATCTTATACAACGGAACAAGCATTCGCAACACATCCTGAAGGCGTCGTCGTATCGGCACTTCTTGGCCCCGTTACCTTGGCGAAACGATCGACTGAGACGAATCTAGATCTCTCGGCCGTACTCGTCTTGGGAAATCTCTTGGTTTTCTTGGTATTCTTGGTACCAAGAACCATGGTTGCTTGTCGAATGCTTACACTCAACGTCCTCTTCTTCGGATGGAACGGGGGTTTTCTACAGATTCTCTTACAGGGTCGTCAGGGACTTTGAGGGGCAGACGGGCTTGGCATGCAAGCAAGCACTCGCAGCGATCTGGAGAGTGAAGAAGAGCAAAGGATCACGTCATTCAAGAGAGCCATCACGCTAGCGAGATGCTCGATCTTTCTGTTAGACATTGGTAGAAATCAGATTACTTACAAGATCCGGCTAGATTCTAAACCTGATCGTTGCTGGTATATTGATTACCAACCGCTCCATCTTGAACATATGGGCAGAACAAGTACTGGAGTGGATCCGTCGTTGTGTATTAGTCACGTCCGTCCGTCTTCAAGGCAGCCCTCATCTACCTCAATCCCTGAATGCCAGTCGCCTCCGTATAGGCCCGATGGGAAGAACATTCAACCCAGCACGATCACGATCACGATCCTACCTTTCACAAATTGATAATGATAACCCCTCATGTCGTCCAGTTGAACCTGGCATGCTTCACCAACCGGGCACGTGAATCGAAGCAACTCGGTTCAACTTTCCGACTCAGGTGGTAGTAGACCCCATCGCGTCTTCAACGCTTCAGACGAAGGAGTTCACCTAGTTACACAAGACGCAACACAGCCTCGTCGACGCAACTGGTAGTCAGTAATCAGATCTTTCGTTCTGCCCTTGAACTTTTTTTTTTGACAAACTCGCGACAAGAGACTAAAAAAGTTGAGACGAGAATCTCTCTCTCTCTCTCTCTCGCCCGGGCCCGCGTAAAATTGACCGGTTGAGCCAAGTCTCAGCATCTGTAACCGAAACTTGCTTCGGCGCGAACCTCCAAAAAAAGACTTGACGTTGAAGAGAAGAGAGAAGAGAAAGACTATCCGTAGAAACCTCAGAAGAAACCCCAAAAGACACCCCTCCCACAGGGGTCAAGTCACGAACAAGGCTAAGGCTTCAAAACGTCCCAAAACAGGCATCATACGAACTCCTCGGGGTCCGGGGGAAAACTCACTGCCCAGTCAAGACTACATCTTATTACATGCACAACATACGTAAAGCGGCGTCCCCGGGAGACGAAGGAATCTTCATGTGAACCGTGCCCCGTTGATTGATTAAAGCTACCTCCTGTAGGGCGTGTGTTTCGGAGAGGAGAGAGGAGAGAAAAAAACACCCCGTTGCTATCCCGCAATCGAGGGTTTCAAATACGTCCGCCGGCCGATTGCTTGCAGAAAAACGAAGAAAAAATCACTTTAACCCATGGGTTCGATAGCCCCGCGTCGAGGTTACGATCGATAACCTCACACCTTTGAACAACTCCCCGCCCTGATGCTTCGAGCAAATCAAAAAAAGGAACTTGTACGCGATAACCCCCCCCCCCTCCCTGAACTGGACCTAGACAAGAGAAAAAAGCTTTCACGCCATGCCGGCCCAGATCCTTGGCTGGTCTCCTCCACTTCCACTCCTACACCCCAGATCATAGATCGTTGATCATTTCAGATGAAGATTCAAAAAAGATTGATAATGTCCCCGCACCACACAAGCC